TGGTGCCAGTACCATTCTGATCCGTCTTGCTTTTCCTGTGAGCGTCGAATGTTAGACAGATCTCTTGATCTCTCTGAGCTTTGGTGATCCGCTTGCTCCTCCGAACTGTTCATGTTCTCCCACAAGGTGCCAGCCTGTCTATCCACCCATTCATGTCCCAGCACACCAGCATGCCCCGGGAAGAAAAGATCCAGACAAGGCTTCTCACCCATGACCTCTCAAGCCAAGCATGCCACTCTGCATGAAGAATAAAGGACACCGAATTGAGAAACATATTTGTGGAGTTCAGACATTGAGGCTACATTTCACTGTGAATTTGATCTGTTTTCTTGCCTAGTGAATGTCATTAAAAATTACAAGGCATTATTATTTGACCACCCCTCATAATTTCTCATATCTTTATTATGTGGTTAAATGTCAGTTCTACGATATCCCGATGATATGGGTTCTAGGGCCCCATTTGTATGGGGTGGGGGTCGTGAGTAGTAGTTGGGGGCGGGGGGGGGGGTAATACCCGTTACGAAGCATGTTTTTAAACAACTAGTGAAGGGTTTTCTGTTAATTAAAACATATGTGGGTGCCAAAGGTGCAGATATGGCAGCCTAGCTGTAAACCACCGTACTACTGCCAACCACCTTTTATGGGGGAATGCAAAAAAAAAAAAAAAAGATTTCTATGATTTATTATGTGGTCAGAAACTTTGTACGAAACAAGGATGTTCTCATTGCTTACATGCTCTGGCTGGCTCTGCACAACTTGGTGGAATACTGATACAGGATTAGGCAGATGTGGTTAGTGCCTTGTGGGAGAGCGTGTACAGTGCGGAGGAGCAGATGGATCACCACAGTCTGGTGAGATTGATGCAGTTAGGGGTGACGAGAGGTTCTGGCAGAAGCTCAAGGCTCAGAGGAAAGACAAGATGGACGTTTAATCAGAAAGCTACTGGCACCATTAGTATCGGAACTCTTCGCTGGCTGCTGAAGATCAGGACGGAGCGCTTAAGGGAATGCCCCGAGTGCTGTGATGTCGGTTCTTGAATCAAATCAAATCAAATCAAATTGCTTACATGCAGTCGCTTATGTTTTCAACATGGTGTGGTGTATGTCTATAGTACAGTTTATTGTTTGGTTAAACAACATTGTGATGGTGTTATATGTGTCTGTTCTACAAATTGTTATATCGTTAAATAACATTGTAATGGTGTTTGTTATATGTGTCAGTTTTACAATTCATTACATCGTTAAATAACATTGTGATGGTGTTATCTGTGTCAGTTCTAGAATTCGTTATATCGGTAAATAACATTGTGATGGTGTTATATGGTCAGTTCAACAATTCATTACATTGTTAAATAACATTGTGCGAAATGTGTTCATGGTCTTCACATGTCATTTGGTTAACTTTATATTTATATTGTATGTCCTTCCTATTAATACTCTTATTTCTCAACTTTGCCCTTTAAAATAAAAAATAAAAACACACACACAAATTCTTCTTCTTTAGTCAATATCTGCTTATGCCGCTAGGCGTCACAGTTCATCAGACGACCGGCAATCGAGCCAGGACCCTCTCAGTCACTTGATATGCCGTGATGTTATGCACTTTCAAGGTGTCAGTGACTCATTCAATCCATCATTTTCTCTGTCTTCTCCTGTCTCTCGGTGTTTCGATTTTCAGGCTTTGTGCTCTTGCTGCTGGCTTTCTTTGGCCAAACCATTTCATTCTTTGTTTCTCAATCAAGTTACTGATGAGTGTTGTTCCAACAGTTCTTGTGATCACATCATTTCCCACTCAATATCCGCTGGTTTTATTCACAGCCATTCTCAAACATC